AGAAATGCTTGAAATACACCAGTGTTTCAGATTTTAGAGGTTTTCTGGTTTTGGAATATTTATACAGACTTTACTGGTTAAGCATCTCTAGTCTAAACGTCCAAAATGTCCTTAAAACCCAAATTAATTAGTGCTGGCTCAGAGTGATGGCTTTCAGGACATACTGACTTTGGATCCATAGGTTAGAGATGTTCTAACTAGGTGGAACATGTGTCAGAACATCACTCATCCATGCATAGATTAACTTTATAACATTATGTTAAATAAAATAAACATCCAGAAAACAACAAATATTATATGAACCCACTTATTTAAAATACAGGCGATTTACAGAGATGGAAGGAGATGAGTGGGTATCAAGAGTTAGGGGTGGAGAGTCCGAGGAAGGAGGCTGTTATTGCTCACTGGGTAGTTTCTATTTGGGATGATGAATTAGTTTTGGAACACACAGTGGTTATGCTCATATAATAGTAAGAATTCAGTTACAAGCACTGTACTAGTTCCTAAATTACACATTTAAAAATAATTAAAATGGGGCTGGTGGGATGGCTCAGCAGGTAGAGGCACTTGCCACCAAGTCTAATGATTTAACTGATTCCTGAGACCCACAGGGTAGAAAGGAGAGAACCAGCTCTTGCAAACTGTCCTCTGATCTCCACATGCACACACACACAAGCATGCATGCATGCAGAAACACACATGCACACAAATAAATAAATGTAATAAAAAGTGGTTAAAATGTCAAATGTTACTTTCTTATATATTCAACTTTAAAAATAAAAACAATACGGCATTTTAGAAGCAAAGTACCTTTAAGGGTATAGTAAGTTAATGAGACCATAAATTAGTTATTAAAATGTAACATGTTTTATGAAGAACAAAGGCTGAGCCAGGTACTGGGGCTCAGGCCTGCAACCCCACTCTCAAGAGGCTGAAAGTCTGAGGTCAGTATGGGGTATATGCAGGGTTCTACATCCCCAAAAACAGAAACAAAGACAAACTAGTGTTCGGTAATAAAATAGACATAATAAAAGTAATCCCTATTTTCAGAAGACATAGGCAGAGATTATGAAAGTGTGTGACTTTTGTACATGAAATCTAAAAGCAGCACTTTTAAAGACCCAATGACCAGTGAGTATGCAAAGCTACCCGACATGCTTTTATTTAAACAGAGGAAATATAAGAACAATATATATACTCATGTACAATGATATACAAACAACGATACGTTTGTGCTGTGTGAAATGTCATCTGCCTGCATGTCTTTGTGAACATGTCCGAAGACAACCTGCAGGGGCCAGTTCTCCTTTCACACCTTCTGGGTCGGAGGGATCCAACAGTTCAGTCAGGTTTGGTGGCAAGTACCTTACTGCTTAGCCATCTTGCCAGACTTATATATTTATACTTTTATACTTAAAAAGTATGTCTAAGTGTATTTACTAACAGAAAATATGACAGAATGAAAAGCATTATAAAACGGAAGAACGTTGTCTTGTAAATATACACATAGCTTTATAAAACACAGAGAATATTTATATAAGGATAAATGTAGAGGGCTGGAGAGGTGGCTCATGGTTAAGCGCATTAGCTGCTCTTCCAGAAGACCTGGGTTCAAGTTTCAGCACCCACAGGGTGGCTCACAACTGTCTGTTAACTCCAGTTCCAGGGGACCCAATGCCCTCTTCTGGCCTCCTTGGGTACTGCACACATATGGTGCACAGACACACATCCAGGGAAAACACCCATACACATAAAACAAATCATCTTTAAAGGGATAAATGTTATAAGTTATAGTGGCCATCTTTAATTTTGAATACTTTTACAAAAAGGTATATCATTTTATAGTCATTTAAAAGAACAAAATAAGATTTGACTTTGAAAAAAAGAATAGAACCTTTTGATTTTTGAAAATGAAGTCTAAAACCCACAAAACTAAAGAATGATTATCAGCCAGGCGGTTGTGGTGCACACCTTTAATCCCAGCACTCAGGAGGCAGAGGCCGGTGGATCTCTGTGAGTTCTAGGCCAGTCTGGTCTACAGAGTGAGTTCCAGGACGGGCACCAAAACTACACAGAGAAACCCTGTCTTGAAAAAAAAAAAAGATTATCAACAAATTATTTCCTTTACCTTAAATGTACTTAGGGTTAAAATAAGTAAATAAGTGTATATGTGTGTATATATATATATATATACATATATACATAACTAATTATTAGTATTAATATTATACTATTAGTATATAAGCTTGAACCATAAATGCTAGCATTAGCATACTATAAAGAAAGTTTCAGTAGCTGGGCATGGGCACACTCTTGCGTCCTAGCCACCTGAGAGGCTGGGGCATCAGGGTGGTAAGTTCAAAGCTGCAAACCCAAAGTGCTACTAAATCAACATAACTGAATCTTGAGTATTTTTTTATAGTAGTCAGCAGGTCCTTCTAAATTAAAAAACATACATTACTAAATTTCTTGTTCTAATTTTTAAGACTTTAATGACAGTTGAAGTGGTTTTGTACAGTTACCTCTGCTAAATCTTCAAAGCAGCTCCCAGCTAATGGGTGAGGACTACTTTCATCTGTCATTTCCACTGTGTCTTCAATCAACCCTAAGAGTTTCACAGTCAATTCATGTATATCTGAAATGTTACTGAAAATCTTTTCAATTTCCTGAAAAATAAGAAAGGTTGAGGCATGTCAGGTTGAGAATCATGCTTACACAGTAACAGCAAACAGAAGTGGACTGAGGAGCAGCTGAATCTGTGAAGCATATGTCGACCTGAGCTCAGGTCCCAGCGCCCACAGGAAAGCCAGGTGCTGGTGGACATTTGTGACCCTGGGGTGGAGGGGCAGTCAGGGGGACCCCTGTCGCTCCCTGGCCGGCCAGCCCAGCAGAAGAAAGGGGTTCCAGGTTCACTGGGAGAACCTGTCTCAAAAGGAAGGGGGTAGTAAGACAGCTCAGCTGGTGATTGCTACTGGGCAAAATCACCTGAGATCCATTCCCAGGACACACACGGTGAAGGAAAGGACCTAGTCCCACAGGCTGTCCTCTGACACACGTGCACACCACCACAATAAATGCTAAAGATGCCTTTGCATCGGGTTTCATCAAAGTATATTCTAAGACAGTAAAAAATCAATCATGAATACAAAGAAAATTTTAAGAATCTCTCAGATCAGAGGCAATAAGTATACTAGAAACTATAAATTCTAGATAGCTTGAATTTATAATCCTCAAATCTCATAGATACCTCTATAAACATCAAAGCACTTCTTTATTAAAAAAAAGAAATGCATTTGTGTGTTTTGAAATTGGCTAAGATGCTGAAAAAAATGAAAGTCTTAAAGAGTAAGCTGATGATAACAGCTAGGATCGGAATGAAAATGACTCCTACTCTAGATACAATTGAATTAATTGTTCCATTTATTGCTCATGTTCTAAATTTTAAAAGGCACTAAAGATGTCTTCAAACAGCCATGCTTGAATTACTGTTATATTTAGATTAAGCCATGAACACAGTAGATACAAACAGATCACATTACCTACGAGCCAGGCTACAGTCATCCTAGTATCTGGCAATGGGAACATAATAGGCTAAGGGACACGATCAAACCGCACTGTGAATCCCAGCTCTGCTACTTGTGAAACATAATCTGAATGTTTGGCTTTTGTCCTGGTTCTTCTGATGGAGCTTCTAAAACACTGGGAATTTCCAGAGTGTCTCTGATCACTCCTGAGTTATGCTAACAAGGTTACTAAGGGTGAGGATTAAAGGGATGGAATGTTCCCTCAGCTCACTGACTTCTGGAGTAGGGTCGGAGAATGGAGTCCAAGTTCTACGAAGACTCTCGAACAAGGTTGCTGAGCTTCTAAGCTGTGAACACATGGAGGTGCCAGGAGCATGGCTTCCCAGGAAGAAGAACATGGAAGCTAGAACCCTCAGACCTTGTCCCATCCTTCCCTCACTGCTGTTCACCTTGGGTCCCACAGAACATCCCTCATAACAAACTGGTCAACTTAAATATTTCCCTGAGTTCGATGAGCCACCCTAGCAGATCAACCGACCCCAAGGAGGGGTCATAGGAACTTCAATTGCTATAGGCTGTTGGGCATGAGTCCTTCAGCCATGACACAGTGTCCAGCAGGATAACATCGGGGCTGAATTAATGGGCAGGAGAATCAATCTGAGGTGATCCTCTGAAGAGCAACCTAGTGTGCAAGGGGCTCAGGGGAGACACACACATCACAGAGTGATCTCTCACATGTGAGACTGCAGAACAAAACAGTTTGTTTTCCCTTTTACAACATGCAAGAAGAGTGACCATGGATTAAGATACAAATGACAACTAACCTCTGACACTTAATATGTTTCACACATTATTATAGGCCTTTGACATGGGTTTTATCTTTTAAACTCTATTTATTTGCTCGTTTGGTACTGCTAAGGACGGACTGCAAGGCAAGTGTTCTTAGCAGGGCTGTACTCCCGTCTCAGGTTCCCTATCAGCCTGGCACCTGGATGTATGTACACAACATCCCTGTATTACAAATGAGAGCCCAGGCACCAAGGAGTCAGAGAATTTGCCCATGGCCACACATCCTGTAACTGAGATCAACCTTAACTCATTTATTACTTTTCCAACATTTGCCAAGAACTATTCTCTGATCTTAGATGGTCCTCAACTCAAAAGTTTATATTGTCAGCTACATGGGAAAAATACGTTTATAGCAGATACAGAGAGGGAGGAAAAAAGGAATTCTTACTTCTAACCTTCAGTGTAACAGAGACTGTCTATCAAACCTGCATTAATCCAGTGAAAAGAGACTAATTTAGGAGTGAACCCTGGTGGGGCACAGGAAAGGCTCAGAAGGCAGCATTAACCAATAGCGTTGCTATCCCTATTCCTAGTACTGTCACGGAAAACCAGTCTATAATGTAGTAGAAAGGGCTCACATCCAAGCCGCAGTGCTGTACTGAATTTAACTAACTCAACTATGTTACAGCAGGAAAGGGGAAAAGTGATGTCTGCCCTACAGATGGCTTGTGTGTAAGGATCAAACAAAATGGAATCCTAAACTACACGTTAGCAGAAGTCAGCAACATTATTAGACTAAAAAGGTATGCAAAAGAAACGAGTCAAGGCCGATTAAAACACCTTGAAATATCATTTGAATCACTCTGCTGGAAAAGAATAAAATCTATCAGTTCTGAAGCACTCAGACAGCTGGGCCTGAGCACTGTGTCTATTTGTTTATTCTAAGTTAGTGTAGTGAAGAACTTAGAAGGTATAAAATAGGTAAGCTTAAGATGAAATAGTTTTTAAATATAGGTCAAATATACTTAGAGAGAAACACACCATTGTTAAAGTAAGGAAAGAAAAAAGAAGGAAGCCTATGTTCTTGTAGCTGGACTTCCTAGAATCGGCCTGCTTTTCCTTTGCTTACTTGAGACAGTGTTTCACTATGTAACCTAGGTGGGCCTGCAACTCCTGATCCGAATCCTGATCCTGGGCTTTAGGCATGAGGTACACATCCTGAGAGACTGACTTTCCATGCTACAGAGAGAAGAGCACTCAGCCAGGCCCTGCACCCATCGCTGGCCTGTCTGCAAACAGGAGACCCCTGCCCTTGATTCTTTACTTGGGACATGGCTGTTAAACTTCCTGCTGCTCAGTGACTAAGAGTACCAGCTGCTCTTCTAGAGGACCAGGTTCGATCCCAGCACTCACATGGCAGCTCACAAACATCCACAACTCCAGTTCCAGGGGATCCAACGTCCCCTTCTTTCCTCCATAGTCACTAGGCATACATGTGGTGCACAGATACACATGCGGGCAAAACACTTTCACATACAAACAAATAATTTTTAAAATCAAAATACAACAAAATTCCCATAGTTAGTCGAGCTTGGTGGCACACCTTTAATCCCAGCACTTTTGAGGCAGAGGCAGGTAAATCTCAAAGTCAGCCTGAACTACATAGTAAATTATAGGCCAGCCAGAGCTACATGGTGAGAACCTGTCTCAAAAACAAAACAAAACAGAAAAACCACAACCACAAAACTGAAAACTGCTGAAGCTTGCAGCCTTAAAGCCCTCCCCCCCAGAAGGGAGAGCGCCTCCATCCTCCTACCATTTCCTCACATTCTGATGAGTGACGACATCTCATTACATCTGACTAACCTGCAACTACGCAGCAGAAAATGTGGTCATCCCAGAACAACCCCTCCCCTTGAGTCTCCATGTCACTGACTGCACTTACACCTGTGTACAATTCAGATGGTTCTGAACTCAGAAACATGTCAAAAGAACACTGACACACAACTGTGGTAAATAATATACTAATGATTCATTTTAACCTGCTATTTGCTTGAGGGACATGCACAGAGTTTCAATCCCCGGAAGCACTTACAGAAGGCCTGAACAACTTCCTGTCAGAAAGAAAGGCTTCCCGGAATACTTTGATGATCATGTTCAGTTCCCGTAGATACTGTCTTTCTTCTGCAATTTCAGTTCTGACAAGGTCATAGTAGTTTAGCTCACCAGAAGAACTAGGTTCATCTTCACAGAGAGAAACCAAACCTATATCATCATCCTGATCAAACATGTCCATCAGAACCTGGAAAGCACAAATCAGGAATGTACAGTTACTTTCCTTCTGTTTGTAAAACTGTTTCAAACTACTGCAATTAAAACGTTATTAGGCATAAGAACTGTATGTTGCACACACAAATTTCTATTAGGAAATTTAGGGGAAAGTCAGAGGAGATGGTGTTAAACCGGATATAGGAAAATTAGTGTTTCTGGAATACACATGTACGTGCTTATGTACATAAGACATATATGTATCTACACATATAGATAGTTGTATATAATAGCAAAAGGAGTGTGCTTTTAGGGAACAACCATGTGAGACAAAAATCACAGTTCTGATTCCTAGACACCTGTGATTATAGATAAGTATTTATTCTTATGAAAGTCATATTCTTCCTACATAAAACACAGCTAATGGAAGGTTGGTGATGTCTAGCAAATGACTGGCATCCAACAGCCTTGCTGTGTACGCAGCTGGGCAGAACTGAAGGAAAACATGAAGTGTCATAATAAAGGCAGGTCATCTGTGACAGTGTGATGCTTTAGAAAGCACAGTGCTCTCATTCAACTTGGCATCAGAAAGATTTTTATGAAAATTCTGCCTGTCCCAAACAAATGACACTTTTCTTGTCATTATTACTTGGGCATGTACATTTGTATGTACATGTGTGTAAACAGTGTGCAAGTGTCAGCCAATAGGCAAGAACTATTCATAAATCAAAAGCAATGGGAATAAGGTGTCTGTATACTTTAACACTCTTACTTAACTGGACCTTTAAATAGTTAATTATATATTCCAAACTGTTAAGAGTTCAAGAAGCCAGGCATCAGTGATGCACGCCTTTAATCCCAGCACTTGGGAGGCAGAGGCAGGGAAATTTCTGAGTTCACTCTGGTCTACAGAATGAATTCCAAGACAGCCAGGGCTATACAGAGAAACTCTGTCTTGAAAAAACAAAAAAGAGTTCAGGAAAGGGCTTGGAAAATGGTTCAGTGGTTAAGAATAGCTACTGTTCCTGCAGAAGACCCGGGTCCAATTCCCAACACCAACATCAAGCGGCTCAAACCACCCGTAATACCACTTCCAGAGGATCTGATGCACTCTAACCTGTATTGGTACCTGTACACATACAGGTACATACAAGCTGATGTAGGTACACACACATATATATGCATAAATAAAAATAATTTTTAAAAAGGAGTTCAGGAAAGATGTGAGTTGGGGAGGGGGACATCCTGAGGCTACCTGAAGGAACGGGAGGGAAGAATCAGGGGTTCCTGTGAGGAGCTGGAGGTGCAAATGATCAAGATGCATTCCAGTTCCAGGGAATCCGAAGCTTTCTTTCGACCTCCGCAGGCACCAAGCACATACATACAGGTAGGTAAAATACTCACACCCATAAAAATAATCAATATATATGTATATATATAAATCAATCATATAGTTAACTATATTCTACTTTTTTTTTTTTTTTTTTTTTTTTTGGTTTTTCAAGACAGGGTTTCTCTGTGTAGCTTTGCGCCTTTCCTGGAGCTCACTTGGTAGCCCAGGCTGGCCTCGAACTCACAGAGATCCGCCTGCCTCCGCCTCCCGAGTGCTGGGATTAAAGGCGTGCGCCACCAACGCCCGGCTATTCTACTTTTTTAAAAGGGAAAGGAGCCAGCAAGATGGCTCAGCAGGGTGCTGGCTGCCAAGCCTGACAACCCAAGCTTAGCCCTGACTTATAACTTGCAGTCAAAGAAGAGAAGCGGCGCCTGCAAGCTGGTCTCTGACCTCTGCGTGCATCCCCTGGGAACACACACACACCACATGCACATAGAAACACTGAACAATTTGATCAAGTTTATGTCTTTAAGAGTTCAGAGGGAAAAAAAAAGAAAGGTATACCTCTGGAAAGAAAGTCCTGTCAGATGAGAGGAAATTACGATAGTTATTAAACACATGATTTATAAGCTCTTGAAATAGTGATCACTAGAAACAAGTTTGGATCTACAAAGTTCATACCATGTCAAACAAGCTCATTAACTCACTCACATAACGTGAATCACAAATACAGTCATCTGCATTCTCAGCTAAGCACGTGACTGCCTCTGTGACAAACAGGAGACTGTGGGAAGGAACTCTGAAACAAGGATCAGCAAACTGGGTACACACGCCAACTCCTGCCCACTGTCTATTTCCATCAAGTTATACTGGCACACAGCCCAAGTCCGTCTGTTTAAGGCTATTTTTGTGTGCTACCAGGCCGAAGATGAGTAGTTGCAAGACAGACTACAATAGTTATCATCTAGCTTTGTGGGTTCTCGGGGGGCTGCTGTTGTTTTATCATTCTGAAACAGGGTATTAATATGCAGCCTGGAACTGGCTGAGAATTCACTGTGGACCCCAGGCTGTCCTCTAACTTGCAGCAATCCTGCTGCCTATGACCACTAAGTGCTAAGATTACAGGCATATACCACCATGCCTCGGTTTTGTCTGGCTCTTTACATATTTGTTGATGTTGAACCGTACAGGAGGTAAACAGTAACAGAAAAGTGGTACATCTTAAACCCAGAAGGATGTCTTCAATCTGTTTAAAACTTTATTCCTTATATTGCTCTTTTAAGATTCTTTTATTGAGCAATTTCAACTAAACAAAGTTTCTCAAACTTACATATACTACCAAAAACTACTAGAAAATGAATGTCAGAATTAGGTTTTTTAAATATCTTGGTGTGTGATAACTTCAAGACAATATGAAATTTTCTGAAGTTAAATTTGAGTTAAATTTGTTAAAATTAGTTGTTAAAATTCACAATACGAGTTGAAGAAAAGAAAAGCAGAAGAGTACCTCACTTACAAAAGTCCTCAGGGGTTCAGACATCTGCAAACCCAGAAAGTAATAGTGATATGGACACTCAAAAAGTTAATACTGAAACTAAAAAAGAAGAGCATAAAACATCAAGGAGAGGGCCATTTCATAATAGTCAGTGTTGGTAAAGGCAAATCTCGATGCTTGTCTTAATTTTATGTCAGTGTAGGGGCTGGAGGGAAGGCTCAGTGGTTAGAGTCACAATGCCGTACATCGTCTATCTAAGGCCACTGAAGGGAGAGGATGGACAAGACAAGGAAGGCAGGAATCCCTGCAGGGAGGGTGAGAAGCTGTGGGTGCTTCAGATCAGGATGCGGAGCCTAGAGCATTCTAAGACGGGGTGGGGTGGGGCTGATGGACTCACATCAGGGAGTTACAGCTGCCTGTAACTCTAGTTCCAGGGGATCCAATGCCACCTGGCCTCTGTGGACACTACATGCACCTGGTGCACATAAATTCACATGTACACATAAATACAAATAACATGGGAATCTTAAGGAAAAGACCGAAGGGATAAGGTGGGTGGGTGGGGAAGGCACAGCCTGCTCTTGGAGACCATGACCAACTGGAGTAGACATCATTGCCACTCAGACTCACGGAATCCTGGGAGGCCGCGTGGGCAAATGGATGGTGCCTACCACAGTAGTGGGAGGGGAGAGCCTGGTAACACATGGGAGAACTGCTCAAATAAGAAGATATAGTAAGAAAAACGGAGCCAGAGTCTTCAATGACCAATATGAAGAGATTTAGTCCTCTCTCTTATGAAATCTTAAATGACCGGATTAGAGAACTGGGAAACGTGGTGGTGGTGGTAGGGGTGTCCTGAGAGAGACCATGTGCCTCCAACAGCAACGAGCTAGCTCCTCTACCCACACCTTGTGTTTATAAATACTGTTCTCTACTTCAGAGGAGCTCAAGTGTTGGTTGTTGTGATTGCTGTTGTTTTAGAGAAATAAGTAATTCTAAGCTTGGAAAGTGCCACGTTGAACAAGATGAACCTAGACTGTCTACTGCTCAAATAGAGTACTCCCAAAAGACAAATACTACATATTTAAAATAGTCATGTTTACAGAAGCAAAGAACAGAATATTGGTTCAGAAACAGGGGAGAGAAATGAGAGATGAGGGCCAAAAGGTAGAAAGTCTCAATCAGACAGAAGAAAAAAATTATATCTAACACAGAGCATGGAAAATATATTAAATAACAATGCACAGTACATTTCAAAATTGCTAAGACAGCGAGTTTCAAATGTTCTCACCACAAATACACATATTTGAGTTGACATATAATAGTGTAAGTTTATTCCACACTGTATTTATAAGTCATAGCCACAGTGTAACTCCTAAAGTGTAAACCCACAACTTGTCAATTTATACTTAAAAATAAACAAAAAAATTATTCCAAAAAATAACAGAAATAAAGTAAATTTGGAGTTCCCACCTGACCTGATCAAATCTGTGATCATTTGAACATCCATAAAACTAATTATGATCCACTGAGTAAAATAAGTACCTGTAAGTCCATATTTAAATGAACCAACAAACCTAAAGAGTGCTAAAGAGTACGAGACAGTCCCAGAATATTTTACAAAATTTTTGTTAATTATAAAAGGAAAACAGTGACTGAAAGAGAAGATTGGTAGATAACAACATCACTAATGAATAACACTGAAAGTGAGTTGTATGCCATGTGAAAAATTACAATGAGAACATAGTGTACTTTTATGAATTCCTGCTGAAGGCTACAGCCTGATTCTAGCCAAAACATAATATCAGAAAAAGTCTAAGCTGAGGACCATTAACAACTGGCTCACAGTTCTCCAGTGTCAAGGTCATAAAGGTTAAAGAAGAAAGGACTTTTTCTAGGAGAAAAGAGTCATGACAACTAAGTAAATAATGCATGACTCTGGACTAAATCCCTTTGCTATGGAAGAGGTCCCGGAACAACAGCACCCACACCCATGTGCCCGTGTGCTGGCCTCTGACAGTCTGACTACTGTGCTGCAGGGAAATGTTCTTGTCGGCAGAACATCCTAGGTAGGCTGTTTACTCTCAAAATGACGTGGAATGCAACGGGGTACTGCACTTCCAGCTTTTCTATCAGCTTATGTCACTTTCAGAGCAACAAAAAGTATGTAATCATGGTTTTAGTAGTCAAAATAAAAATGATGAAT